AGTTCATCACCACCAAGCTGGTATTACAAGAATTGTTAAAAGAACTTAAAAGGAGAAGGTAAAAAAAAAAAAGATCAAAATTATGAATAATAAAATGGCAATAATGACATATCTATTAATAATTACTTTAAATATAAATTAAATGCTCTAATCAAAAGACATAGGGTGGCTGAAAGGAGAAGAAAACAAGACACATGCACATGCTGTCTACAAGAGACCCACTTCAGATCAAAAGACACACAAACTGAAAGTAAAAGGATGGGAAAAGATACTGCGTACAGATGGAAATGAAAAAAAAAAGCTGGGGTAGCGATACTTATATTACGCAAAATAGACTTTGAAGCAAAGGCTATAACGGGAGAAAATAAAGGACATTTCACATACAATAGGCAATATATGGAAGCAATGTTAAGTGTCCATCAATAGACGACTGGATAAAGACAATGTGGTACATATATACAATGGAATATTACTTGGCCACAAAAAAGAAGGAAATCTTAGCATTTCCAACAACACAGATGGACCAAGAGGGTATTATGCTAAGTGAAATAAGACAGAGGAGGACAAATACCATATGATGGCACTTATATGTGGAATCTAAAAAAAAAAACAAAATAAATGAACAATCAAAATAAAAGCCAATTCACAGATATAGAGAGCAAACTGATGGTTGCCATTGGGAGGGGGGTTAGGGGGCTGGGTGGAAAATGTGAAAGGATTAAAAAGTACAAATTGCTAATTATAAAAATAATCACAAGGATGTAAAGTACAGCACAGGAAATATAGTCAATTATATTATAATAAATATATATGGCGTCAGGTAGGTACTAGACTTATCAGGGGGATCACTTCATAAGTTATATAAATTTCATAAGGAAAGTTCAGTGAAGTTACTATTCAATTCAAACATTTACTGAGCACCTATCGTATGCTAGGAAATATGTAAGCACTAGGAATAAAAAGGAAAAAAGGCCAGTTAAGAAGACCCAAAGTATATCTTATGTTGAGTTCACACTTAAAAGTTCAAGTACAAACTTCGTATTCTATTTCCTAATTTCTAAGTAGGGCAATAATTTAAGTTCCTCCTATAAAAATTAAAAAATGATTTTTTCCTACCGAAAGGAAAAAATAAGTTTTCAGGTTCAACTAATTAGGACATGTCTAAGAAATCCTTGGAATTTTAAAAATGTGTTAAAACTTTAATTTAAAAGCAACCTGCAATTAACATTACCTTTCAAAATTATTCTTAAATTAGTAGACTAAATTATGTTCAGATATAAAAAACATAAAATGGACCAATCTGTCATTATGATAATCTTTTTCAGAAGGGCTAGGCTAACAGATGTAAGGAATTAAAATCAAGTTCAAGTTTGTATTTCATTTGCTTATTCTATTTAAATGACAGATGGTTTAAATATTAATCCTATTAATAAAACGTCTGCATATTCATTATGAAGCTCATTTCCTTACCTCGTTCATTTTACTAATTTTATTAATTTTACTACATGGCTACCCATTTAAGGTCTTAAACCCTTACCTCACAGAGTGTGATCCTAGAATCAACAGCATCAGCATCACTTGGAAGCTTGTTAGAACTATAGAATTTTATACCCCAAACCAGCCCTGCTGAGTCAGAATTTGCATTTAAAAAAATTCCCCAAGTGATTTCTATACACACTGAAGTCTGAGTAGCATAGTGCTAAACTTTTTTTTTTTTTTTCACAGTATTACAAGAGTTTACTTGCTTCCAAATTGTGGTTCATTTATCTCCAGATAGTAACTTTTTATAAGAATAATTCAACTCAGACAAATAAATCAAATCAATATACATATATATTAGATATTCTATATACAATATTTGTCTCAGACTTGATCTTACCTCTCAACTAGGACTTCAAGTCTTAGACGTCTTGTACTATTCATTTTTTTCTCTTGAGTCAACATTTTTGCTTTAGCATATGGCCATGTGATGAAAGTCTCTGTAATCAAACAACTAAAATACCAGGTGATCAAATTTTCTGCATAATTTAAAAAGTGAAAAAACTCAAAATAGGTTCAACTAAAGTTGAACTTCAAAGTTCCCTAGACAAAAAAAAGACCAGAATGACTCTATCCTCCACAATAATATATTTTTATGCTTTACCTAACATTTTTTTTTTTTTACTAAAGTTGAGAACTACAGTTCCCTCTAGACAAAAAAAACCCCAATGACTCTATCCTCCACAATAATATATTTTTATGTTTTACCTAACATTTTTTTTTTTTTTTACTGCAGGTAGCACAAATTCTTAAAATAAGAAATTCACATGGGACTTAGTGCAGTTCTTTAGATGGCTCATCTTTTATTATTACTATTGCACAATAGTCACAGTGCACATAAAATAGAACAAATCCTGTTTTCTCTTTTATTTTGAGAAAAAAATATGACAGACCTAGGCTGAAACTGATCACAGCAGGTATGATAGTTCGGCACAGATTCAAAGGAAGGTACAAATGTTCACTTTTCAAAAGCACTGCAAAAGCCAACCTCATCTCTTTTCACTGTAGCCATGGCTATATGCCAACCATCTGAAAATTGTTGAAAAGTGCTGTTCTGTATAAGCAATTATGAAGAGCTTTGCAAAAAGAAGGGAGGAAATTCTAATAACAATCAACTCCTTAGCATGGTCAAATGCCCATGGCCTCTGGGTTGCAGGATAAGAATCTAAAGGTTACCAACTGCATCTGAGCCAATGCATCCAACCCAGATCCTTAGGAAAAAGAGTTTAGAGGGTGTTAAGAAAAGGTATCGAGGAACCTGTTGGGCACTCTCAAAAACTAAATGTCCTCAAACATCACCAGTTTTTTAAATAAGATCCTATTATAGGTCAGTCACACTTGAATTTAACTCTTTATTAACCTCATTTTGTGTCTGTAGCCTATATAATTTCCCAGGATACAGCATTCCACAAGAGTACAACTGGGTATTTAATTCCTTCTTAATGGTCCTAGGCATACTGATTTCAAGGTTTAAATAGTGTCACTAGCTCTAATATTCTAGAATGTGGTGAACAATTCATTAAGCTCCCTCTCTACTCACATTCTCAGCCAAGTCTCTCAGAAGAATTGTCTATACACATTGGCTTCACTTTCTCACAGTTACTCTTCAGCCCACCCCTATCTGGCTTCACCCCCTTCACTTCATGTTGCTAAATCTAATGGATGTGCCTACGTCGTCATTTTTCTTCACTTTGCAGCATCATTCCATAGTTAATCTCTCTCTTTTGAGATGTTTCTGTAGCTTTGATGGACCTGCATTCTCCTGTGTGCCTCCCAACTCTGTCCCTTGTTAATCTTCTTTACAGACTTTGTCCCCTCTACCTGACCTACAAGTGCTACCTTCGGGCTTGGTCCTGGAATCTCATATAATTTCATGACTATAAACACCCCCTTTATGTTTATGACACACTTTCATGCCAATAACACATTTATGTCTCCAGAACAGATCTTTCTTCTGAGACTAGACCAGTACACCCAACCATCTACTGAACATCTCAACATGGATGCTTCAAAAACATATTTAAACTCAGTACAACCAAAATTAAAGTCTTGGATCTTTCCCTCACTGTTCTTCCTCTAATGTTTCCCATACCCAAACCACCTATCTAGCTGCTCCTGCTTGAAACCCAGAAGTCCTTTACTCTCGCCACTCATATTCAATCAGTCTCCAACTCCTACTCTTTTGGCCTCAAAATATAGCTCTAATATGTCCAGTTTCCCACCTCTACTGCCATCATCCCTTTTCACCAACACCCTTCAGTCTAAGTCATTATCAGCTCTTGCCTATCACACTGCAATAGCATGCTAAGTGATCTTTCTGAATCTACTCATATCTTTTCCAATTTCATCTCCACTATTCAGCAGACTGATCTTTCACAGATGAATATGCTCCTACTTTAAACTTTTCAATAGCTTCCTATTAGTTTTAGGATAATATTCATAAGGCACCTGCCTACCTCCCCAGACAACCTCATCTCATGCTATCATTCACCATGTTCTCCTTAAGCACCAGCTCTCTTTTTTTCTGTACATTACACACGCTGTGGTTTCTCCAGGTGCAGGGCCTTTGCACATGTTGTGTCCTCTACCTTGAATATCTGTTGTTTCTTTTGCACTTTTTACCCACTGTTGCCCAAACCACACCAACATACGTACTCCAAAACTCTAGAGTCCACATGTAGTAGTCAAAATAGACCAAAGGGAACTGAATACCTAGCAACCTGTGGCATTAAAACATAACATCAGGACAAAAAAATAATAATAACAACAAACCCTTATATAACTTTATACGAGGTATGTTTTAGGTGATTTATATATATTAACATATTCACTATTGATAATCTTCTGAAGTAGGTACTATTATTACCTCTATTTCAAGATAAATAAGGTACAGAGAGGATAAGTAACTTCGCCAAGGTCACAGGAATTCAGTGGCAAAGTTAGGATACAAATTTACTCTGTGTGAATGTTTGACTGCCTGTAGCATGACATCTTGGTTATGGACTATTCAACCTTCTCTTCCACATAAGGGATGTGGAACTGGTTTACACAATTATACAGTTACATTTGGATAAATGCTAATTCTCCACCAGACTAAAAACATAAACGAGAATAAGGACCATTTACATCTTGTTCACTGATATATCTCCAGCCTCCTTAACAAATTCTAACACATAATTTATGCTCATTATAAATATCTATTGAATATATGAATGTTTACTGCTCCCTTGCATAATCACTTGAGAATATACTAGGTTTCAATCATATTTATTTTATCTTACCTCATCTTATCTATCTATCTATGTATCTCCTATGTTAGCTATCGGTTAACCATTTCTGCCAGTCCCTCGCTGTCCCCTCCTCCTGTCCGCCTGGCACTCAGGAACTAGCTCGCGACAGCCGCAGTTCTCCCTTCCTGAGGGGGTGAGTGCCTCGAGGTCTTTCATGCCCTCAGGCCTCACCTTCCACGTGGCGGAAGAGGCCGTGCCAGCTTCCAGGCCAGGCCCAGGCGGCTCTCCCGTGCCCGAGGGCATGAAGCGGCCATATCGCTGCAGAGGCCACTGTGTCGCGTCTCCGCCCGGAAGCCCATGGTCCGCCTGATCTTTTCCCGCCTCCGCCATGTCCGGCCTCCCGGCGCGCCCAGCCGGTGAGCACCTGCCAATCGTCACAGCTAACCAATCAAAAAGCGCAGTGACCCAAGGCCCACCCTTCCTTCCGTTGCAAGCCAATGGGCAGGGTCCAGAGACTCCTGTAGGGGGCTCTCGGGTTGTGGGCGTCGCTTTGGCGCTGGCGCGCTTTCTCTTGGTGCACAAAATGGTGGTGGTAATTACCACCTTCAGGTGGGGTTGTGGTCTCGCCTCTGCAGCATTTGGGTTGTTCCTTTCCTTTAGGCAGCCGATGCCACCATCCAGTGCTCTAAGACATTTCCAAAAACTGGCTGACTCCTTGTAACTTCTACGCACTGGACTAGGCTGCTCTCCCGGGCTGCCTGAAAAAGTGTGTGCTCCTTCCTCACAGCAGCCTCTCAGAAGATAATGTCCCTGCATACCTCTAACCCACCACAACACAGCCCTAATTCCACCCGCTATTCAGGAAATAGGGTTACTTCCTCAATCATCCTGCAGCCCCCTAGACATACTGCCTATAGATGGTCACGTTCTCTCCAAAAGAGAGAAGAAAATGGGTGGAATGCTGCCGGCAATAATAGGTGTGTCTCAAACAGCAGGTCAAACTAAATGACAGGTCTGGGTGATTTATAGTTGACAAAGCACTTAAACATCTGTTATTTTATTTGTACTCCTAATTACCGTGTGCCGAATAAAGAAGCAGACTATTTCCCCCATTGAGTAGATGGAGGCAAAATAAGGTCCTCCTGAGAGCAGAAGCAGTCTGTCCAAGGTTACACAGCCAGAGAAGAACTGTGGACTCCACAATCTCTCCATGTGCCCACCGCACTTGCAAAGAATTTAGGCACTCGCCCAGTCCGTGTCAAATCAGAAGCAATATATACAGAAGATGTATATTAATCAAATTCAAAAAGTTGTAATGCAGACATTTTTTATAACTATACGTGTCAAAAGGCATTAAATGTATGGACGGTGTTTGGAAAGGTGGTAATTCCTTCACTCTACACAGGACTGATTACATATCTACAATGTTTACCTATGCTAGTCACCATAGGATTTATAGAAATGGGTAAAACATGCATCTAGTCTTCCCCGACCTCAGGATTTAATGAAACAGGGAGATATTTATCATACCTGACAGTTAATACCAAGTGTAAGGTGTAAATCATGTGCTCAAAGGATTCAGATGAAGTAAACATCTACAAATGGGAATGGCAGTGACATTTCAGTCCTAACTTGCAGGGTGAGAAAAGATGTCCAAAGGGAGGATGGAGGGCAAGTTGGGAAGCGAAAGTTGCAGAGATAAGGATAGTGATGTATAGCTAGAATGCAAGATTTTTTAAGGAACATGTGGCCACAAAGATGAGTTGAGCAGAAGAGCGCTGAACAACAGCTAAGGAGAGTGAATTTTACTTGGTAGGTGGTAAGGGGCATGGAAAATTTGCACAAGGCAGTGACACTATCATAATGGTTGTCCAGGCAGTCTAATCTTTCAGAAGCATATAGAATAAATTGCATTCAAGGCAAGGGATATTTGTTACTTATCTTTCCATTAGTCCAGCAGAGCTTGAAGGGGTCTGATTTCAGAAACTGCTTCTGAAGGTCCTTAACTGACACATCAGCACTGCATTTAATATAGTAGTAAATGGTCAGAAACTTGGTTTCAATCTCGGTTCTGCCACTTTCCAGCTGTGTGACCTTGGGAAAGTCACTTAACCTCTCTATAAAACAGGGTTAGTAAACACCACCTTATAGGGTCATAAGGAAGATAAAATAACATCACATATGGGGAATATGCTTGGTAAATTACAAAGTGGCACACATATTGGTACTTTCTTTTTGCAGGGTTAAAGTGACTTTCCATGGCTCCCTACAGGCAGGAGGATGAGAGTGAGATTCTGACATTCGGTCTCAGAGGCACTCACCTTCCAGGTCCAGGGCTGTGGATGCTGTCAAACACCCTTCACAGGAGCAGATGGTGCTCACAGTTGGGACTCTGTCAGTGTCCAAGGACACCCAGGGCCCCGCTGGGTTCCCACCTGCAAGCTCCCTTCCTAGACAATGCACCTGTGCTTGAGCTTCTGGGGTCACCAGCATCTGCCAAGAGCAGATCATATCTGCAAAAGGGGATAGAAAGCCACAGCTCATGACAGAGGCCCTTTAAAAAAAAAAAAACCTATGATATTAACAAACGTGACTTGAGCATTCAAGAGGTCCCAGAAGCTGTACTAGGTGCTGGGGATATAATAACGAACAAGATGTGTGGCTTCTGCCCTTCTGAAGCTTTCAGTCTAATAGGAAGGCAGAACATGGAGCAAATTACCTCATATTTTTAATGTCATTGTGTTTTTTTACAGATAAATCTGTAATCTTTATTTAGATAAAATTTTATACAGTAATAAGCACAGATCTAAAATGTTTAATTAGGTAAGATTTGACATTTGTATACATTCATGTAACACCTATCCAAAACAAAATGTAGAACATTTTCAAAAGCCCCAAATTGCCTTAAGAGTTTCTCGTTCCAGTCAATCGCCAACTCTCAAGGGCAACCACTGGTCTGATTTTTATCACTATAGCTTAGCTTTCCTGTTCCTGGATTTAATATATATGAAACCATACAGGATGTACTCTTTTATTTCTGCTTCTTTTGCTCAGTGTAATTTTAGCTTTACCCATGTTGTTATGTGTATCAGTAGTTCATATCTTTTTACTGCTGAACAACATCCTGTTGTATCACAATTTGTTCATTCTTCACCTGTTGATGGACATCTGGGTTTTCCGCTTTTTTGTTTGTTCGTTTGTTTAGCTGTTTTTAAAGCTGCTATGAACATTTTTGTACCAGTCTTTTTTGTATATATGTGCTATTGTTTATCTTCAATATATACCTAGGAGTGGTATTGCTGGGTTCTTCAGAGATGTATGTTTAAGTCTATTTAAAAAAAAAACTGCCAAAGCAATCTTCATACTGTTATTCCATTTTACACTACTGTCAGCAAAATATGAGAGTTCCAGTTGCCCTTGCCGACATTTGCATTGTCAGATCATTTTAATTTTAGCAACTCTAGTGGATGTATAGTGGTATCTCATTGTGGTTTTAATTTGCATTTCCCTGATGATGAATAATGTCAAACCCCATTCAAATGGCTTACTGGCCATTTGTATACCTTATTCTATGAAGTGTCTGTTCAAATATTTTGCATTGTTGATTCGTATGAGTTCTTTACATATTCTGGTACAAGTCTTTGGTGAGATATATGTATTGAGTATATTTCCTATTCTATGATTTGCCTTTTCATTTTCTTAACAATGTTTTTCAAGGAACAGAAGTATTTCATTCTGAATGAAGTCCAGTTTATTAATTTTTCAGGTGCATTTTATTAGTGCTTTTTGTGTCCTGCCTAAGAAATCTTTACCTACCCTAAGGTTGTACACATATTCTCCTATGTTTTCTTCTAGATACTTTAAAGTTCTGACTTTACATCTAGGCATGTGTTCTATCTTGCATTAAATTGTTCATGTGAAATGAAGAAGGAATTAAGGTTCATTTTCCTCATATGATTATAGAATTAATGTTACACAGAAACAATCAATGACTGATGGAAATTGGCATATAAATACCCTAATTTACTCACTCCTCAGGTGTGATAACTCTGAGATTTGTGTAATACCCTGTTTTCCAGAGTTAACCCATCAGATCAGGATCGTTACTCATGAGGTAACTTGCTTGGTAACCATTCTTTTTTGACTAACTTCCCTTCCTTATCTTTCTTACCAGTGTCTCCTGGGATCACCTTTCAAACAAATTCCTTGCACTTGAATCTTTGTCCCAGCGTCAGCTTCTGGGGGAACTCAAACTAAGAGTGATAAACAAGGCAGATATTTAGCTATGATATAGTTACATACAAGAAAATGGTACAAAAAGCATTAAGAGGAATCAGTCACTTTTCATCCAAAGCAGACCCTCGAATGCCCTGCTGACCAGTCATAGCAGATTAATAGCATTTGTGATCAGAACTAATGAACGACCCGTAACTACGAACCAATACATCTCTCTCTTAGGAGACTATTACCAGTTAAAAAAAAAAAAAAAATTAGCCCCTAAAGTTAAAAAAAAAAAAGGTTGTTTACTTAACAGAACATCTTTTGTTCCCAAATCCTTCTACTGTGTAACTCTGTTTTGCAGGTGGCTTAAATGACAGAGATATGCTGGCTGCTTGAGTAGTCAGCATTACTGTTGGAGGCAGGCTGCATGTTTTGGAATCTTATCACATCCCTTTCAAAGCAGACCAGGGACCCCATACATCCCCTCTCCCTAGGATATTGAGTCAGCAAAGGAAGTGATGGCTTCAATCTCCTTGGGTCTCCTAGGTCAGGGGTCCTCAACCCCCCAGGCCGTGGACCAGTACCAGTCAGTGACCTGTTAGGAACCGGGCCACACAGCAGGAAGTGAGCAGCAGGCAAGTGAGCGAATCTTCATCTGTATTTACAGCCGCTCCCCAGCGCTAGTAGCATCACCACCTCAGCTTCACTTCAGATTATCAAGCATTAGATTCTCATAGGAGCACTGGCCCCTGGAGCCAAAAAGGTTGGGGACCTCTGTTCTAGATAATAGAGAAATATGTTCTAATTCTGCCTGCCATATCCCTCAGAAACAGTTCTGGGAACCATACAGAGTGACTAGAACTTCAGGACACTGTTGGTGGCTGTGGAGTTTCTCAGAAAAGCCCTGTTTGCATCAGTCAAGCCAGACGAGGTGTCTCCGTGATGTCAGACCTGGGGATACTGTGTGTCAGAGGGGATATTTCCATGGAACTCTACACTTACTGCTAGAAAGCAATTATTTTCAAGTTTCTACTCTGTATCTCCATTTCAGGTAATTGAAGGGATTTCCATGTGACTGGGCACAGACAATCCCAACCTGTCTACAGGCTGCTGATTATTGGCACAACATAGAGAATACCACTGATTTTTTTCATTTATTAAAAGCACAC